TCGCAAGAACGTGACTGACACGTTAAGATGCTCTGGTAGCAGCCTTGCTCTTGTTGTTGGGCCTGGTGGAAATGGACTGCTGTGCATTTAGCTGTCCTTTCAGGCCCCTCCCCTTTTGGGAGCGTAGGGCAGAATTAGGAGGGAATTCCGTCTCGTAGCGTTTGTGCACTGTTTTGAAATGCCGCTCCTAAATTACCCTTCTTCGATAAAGCCACGCTCGCATTGCAGATGAGACAGATGGACTTTGAATTGGAATAGATACAAAAAATAATCATCCTCCCACTCGGAGTGAAAATTATATATTTTGGGCTTTTTTGCTTCTGCCATAATTGCGGTCTTGTGTGTGTACAGACTGTCACTCCTGTTGTTGACACGGACAACGTCAGCAAAATAGTGCCCACTTCCCACCAGCCACGCCCCGACACATGGGGTCACGCCGGCCAATCACAAAGCTTTGATGCGTTCAAGTGCATTATTCTGGCACAGGAAGATTATGTTATATAGGACATTAACGATAAAACAGAATATTGTTGTTCTATTTTTAGACACATCTCGCGATCGACTGGGTGGGCACCCCTGGTATAGACCTTACAAACCTCCAACCAGAGTTTCCGCCAGGGGGGCGTCTTGCCGTCATTTGACGCCCTTATTCAGCTCGGGACGCCCTGAAGGCGAGCCGAGGGCGTCCAAAAATATTAATAATTTGAGAAAAGATCGAGAGTTGTATCGCTTAAAATGACGAAAAGGAAAAAGGACAAGGACACAGGAGTCTGGTGGGATTCTTTTCGGAGTATTGAGGATCGTTTCCCCGACATCGGCGGTGTCTGCTACAGGACGACACGGAACGTGCGCAATTTGGACACGATAAGCCGTGCTAGTGGAGCACGCGCGTGAGCTGCGAGCACCAGAGCCTCGCAGCGGCGAAACTTATATTTATAAGGGACGGCTCAAGTTAAAATTGGGGGGGGGGGGGGGGGTCGCCAGACCAGTGTTTCAGCTCTGGTCTGGCGGAAACACTGCCTCCAACCAATCACAATCAGATCAGCTCATACTGCAAAGCCTTTCACTGCTCAGTGACACTTCACAAAGATTGAGAGAAAAGGTATTTGCACAAAGGAAAATTGGTTTGAATAAACTAGGAGCTTGACCTAAAGTACTATGGAAATGATAGTCCTGGACTGAGTCAAGGCTGTTATGTACATGTGGGTTATTTCTTATTTTCAAAAGTCAATAACTCCAATTTACTTGCCATTACTTTAGCATTGCATTTCTGCTATTGTGGTTCGAACTAGGGCTGCACGATATATCGTGTTGTGACGATAATCGCAGGATGTGCGATTTTTTTTTTAGGACATGCGATATTAATTAGGCAAATTAACTCAAACACGTCATGTTACAATTATTTAGCTGCTTGGTACAAAAGGAAAACTTGCGCGGCTCTGTGACATGCAGGCTCTGCATGCACAGAAAATCAGATCACAGCAGGATAACCGAGCTAGCTCAGCTTGTTGCTCTGATAATTTAAGATCCAGAAGTCCGTGACTAAAATCCTTCATCCGGTTAACTATTGTTACAATTATACCAAATATATATGTGTTTGCGGACAAAAAAACCTGTATTTTTTCATATCGCAATATATATATCGCAGGGGAAGAAAATATCGCAATGTCAGTTTTTTCCAATATCATGCAGCCCTAGTTCGAACCACGTGGAAATCATATACTTCTTTTTCATAAAAAGGTAATAGAAATGTATAGCAAACGCTCGCAGAAGAGTGCCAGCTCTTGTTGGAAGTTCATTATCCTAACTGTGGCAAGGCACCGAAGATGAGTGCATGTGTGTGTTTGTTTGCAAGTGAGAGAGAGCCAGAGAGAGCTGGACTTCACTGCTACAGAGCAGCCAATAATAACAGATCCTTTATAACAAGTCAGACTTGCACTCCCTCTGGATAACGCTGCATCACTTCGACGGACCTCGTGATGCTTCTTTTGTATTATGAAGGCAGAAAAGATCATAAAGGATATTGGATTTATTGTTAGTTGGGTATGTTTCTTGCAGCTATTTACGGGAACTGTATACACTGTGGCAGTTATACAAGCAGGGCAAAGCAGAATGGCGAGGACACAGAATCAATACTCGACTAAAATGGACAATAGGGTCAACTACGGTCTACACGGAGCAACTAAAAATGTGTAATCAGCAACAACTACAACATGCATGTTATTTGAAAGCAGGGCTAAACCATTTTTTAATACCTAACTGTGATATTGCATTTGTCTTAAGACTGAAAACACAATTTGGAGGCAGGGAAATAACTGCAGCAACACAAGAGAGCAATTCATTCAGAATGCCATTTTGAAACAAATGTTTTCTTGAATATAGTGTATATTCGATACAATTTTAATTAGTTGTTCAGCACAACTTGAAAACTAGATCAGGAAAGATTTAAAAAGCTTCATCTACAAAACTGTGTGCAAGAGTTGGTAACCAGTATGTGGCTCGCTCCTGTGAACGCAGCATTACATTCCTCCCTATTGTGACCTATTATATCACCCTCTATTCTGGATTGACTCTTCTAAAATAACAATACGGATATTTAAAGCTTTAAACAAGCCTAGTCTTTTCAGCTGGGCCGTACATTAGTAAAACATTACACCTTACCCGTAACTCCAATCCAAGAACTGTAGAAGCGTGTACAGTACGTTACATCAGTTTCTCAACTAACGTCAAAATGTCAACCTTTGAATCATTTTGTGAAATCCCCAAGTGTCATACAATCTGAGTTTCAATGTCAAGATCTGAAAACATTTTCATAGTGATGGCTGCTTTCAGGACAGGAGCCCCACTTACTATGAAGACGGCATATAGAGTATTGTACTGTATGAGACAAAATGAGTTAGCAAAGTACTATTCTGCACACTCCAGCCCAAAGCTTCTGCAATCCATTTATAGATACTGTAAAGAAGTAATAAAAAAAGAACCAGCCTAGACACTTTTAGTCCCAACATGTCCTGCCTGAGTTATCCGTCTATTAAAAGCAAACTGTTTCTAATCTCTTTAAAACCAGTTACTGGCATGCCGAGAAGATACAAATTAAATGTCATCTTAAAGGACACCTATCATGCTATATTGTAGGGCCATACCTATATAAGGTATATTTATACGTTTCTGTTTTCAAAATACCAAACAGATCATGCATTTTAGCCATGCCTCATTTCGCTCTATTTGCTGTTCTCCAGCCCTGTTTTTGCAGGGGGCTGATTCTGTGAGCTGCAGCTGGCCACGCCCCCCTGCAGGAGAGGGGAGCATGCTCTGATCAAGTCAGAAGAGGGGGATAAAAATAGATCTCCGTCCTCCGTGTGTTATTATATTATTATATAGAGTCGTTATTCATTTGTTTTAAAGCTCAATAAATAACAAAGAAGACCTTTGACCGGCACTTTTCTAATTTTGTCCGGAAGATTTAAACTTTAAGGACATGTTGACCGGCGAAAGAAAACCTAACTGAAACTCTGCCGCACGGTCCCCTCGTTCCTTGGAAGAGGCGGAGAGGTGGGTGTTTGTCATCTGCTGGTGGACTAACCGGAGAGAATTACAGTGCTTGCCTAGACGGGGAGGGATTGCATTGAATTACAGCAGCGGGAGCAAACGCTTGCCTCGTTGAGGGAGAAAAAGAGCCACAGCGGAGAATAAACAGAAGGGCAACCATGGAAACCATGCGCGGGAAGTCTTCTTCGCTGCTTTTGTGGCAGACTACAGCGCCACTTACAGGCCTGGCATATGTACTACAGCGTCTCCAGCACTTTCGAGCGGCAATGGCCGGCCGTGGCCCAACCCCACATTCCCCTGATAGGTGGAGGTGGAGAGTTGGCCCAATAGCCGTAGCGCCACCGTCCTGACGTCAGGACAGTGTTCAAATCTGGATCAGTTTTTATCAGATCCTTTGCAGCCCCTTTTTTAGAGATTTGGGTATGGAGGAAAATAGAGAGGGTTGTGTTTTCTGATACTTGGTGAGTTCCCTGGATATATACATATTCATGTATAAAATACGTACAAAAGTGCATTTTGCATGATAGGTCACCTTTAACTTAAGAGCTTCACCAAAATCAAATAAGTGTAAGCTGTTTTTACTGGAGGTGTAGTAGTGACAGATGGGATATGTCAAACAGTCAAGAAGGATGCAACAGTAAGAGACCATGCACCAAATGGATCTTCTCCAATGGCCAAAGGTTTTTTGTGACTAGATTAAACTCTCTAATGAAGTTCTAAATAATATAAAATGTTGTAAGTGATCCCATGTTCTGCACTATCTGACAGCATGCAATCTTTCTTGGAATACAAACACAACTGGAAAGCCATATAACAAGCTTTCAATTTCCAAAGAAAAATTAATGGTGTCATCAATTATGCAAGTGCATATGGAAGAAGTCCACCTGAAGACTCTGTAGCTTAACCTGCATTATGCCAATACACATGCTATTTTGTAATATGCACTAAACTGGGAATGTGGGAATCAATTTATGTATTCATAAAAAGGGAGATACAGGAATGTATGGCATACAAACATCATGGGCGTGTCCAATGTATTTGGATGCACATGAGACCTCAGTCAACAGTGGGATAACTACTGAGTTTACAGGGTTGTGATACAGGGTAAAACATGATTACATTAATTAAGAAATAGTTGAAACTAGTACACAATAGCCACATATGTTATAAAGTGAGAATGCCAAACTATTATAAAGACAGGAAAATAAACATTTAAATCTTAATAACTTCTGGTGGGCATTAGCTTGTTAGACTGTTGTTTAACTGTAGGCACGTTAGAGGAATGGTATAAACTCCTATTCACATTATTTCTGAACATATAGAAATAAAGTGCAAAAATGTTCTGAAATGTTAAACTGTCTACTAATGATGCTATAAAACTAAACGACAGGTAAATAAACACCGCAAATACCGTTACACACACACACACACACACACACACGCACACTCACCTGTCTGCTCCCACTTTTCTTTGATTCAGTTCGTTTTACGGCACACGGTGAAGTTATTTTTTCTTTCTGCCCGTTAAAGATGCCACCACACCCGAAAGTCAAACGGGGACAACCCGTGTGAAAGGTACCGAGTGAGAGGTGGGTGGTCGGTAGCGGTAAATGCTGACAGAGCCGAAGTTTTACACCGAAAAACAAAAGGAGAAAACCGGACGGTGTCAATGGCAACGGTGGAACGTTGGCCAAAATAAGTCCCGTTTCATAATGTCAGTTTCTCCGTCCTCTGTGTGTGTTTTGGTTCGCTTTGGAAATAAAAGCTCCGCGTTATCAGTGTGAGCAGAGACACATTCACCGGTAATTCAATGTACTGAGTGGGAGGAGTGTATTTCGGTCTTTTTATCTCCAGTCCTCCTGTACAGTGAGCGTCACCGTCCTGGCTGACTTTACTCCCATGTCTGCGCGTTCAGGGCGCAGCGAAAAGTACAAAGAGCTACACTTTTAAAACAGTTAACACCGTTTTAACAAACTCTTATTACCCATATTTTTAATAAATTGCACTTTATTTAAGGTTTCAAACGTCATTTGTAATTATTAAATGTAAAATTGAAGCCAAATGGCACTCAACTACCATTGGTTTTCTCCATCCCACTCGACAGATCGACAGTAAGCTGAAATTCGGATGTTACCTGAACGCAACAACGTGCAAATGTAATTTCAGCTAAAAGGCTTCTTTTTTTTATCAATCTGCTATTTTTGTTTTTTAACACCATACTTTAAACACGTTGATGATAATGCGGTTTAATGAAGAAGAAGCAGTTGTGCTTGTTGACACATGACAAAGATTAAAGGTCATGAGCAGCCATGTCTGTTTGGAAGGTGAGTTATGCCATATACACAAACAGTCCAGGTTTATTTCCATCAAACCAATCCTCTTTTATCACCTTTTTTATTTGACCTCAAAATAACTAAAACATTTTTGTTTGATTACGCATCATGTGAATTGCATGCTTTTGTATCCCTTTTTTCTTTAATGGTTATCCACTACTCAAGTCTCATTTTCTATCAGGCCAACAAACAAAGCAAATAATCAAATCAACAAAAAGGTCACAGTCCTCCCACACCAGAGGAGTGTTTTCCAGGTTCAGACTTTGTCACTCACCTTCAATCATATTGACACACACTGAATTAGATAACTAATTAAACAAAATATATTGAATTTTTGTTACGAGAACACCATTTGCAGTCATATTCAGAGACAGAGACATATGTTAGGAGAGTCTCATAATAAACCAATTTACACACGCTGTGACACATTGAGTATTTATCTTAATTTGTTTTGTCAGCTGCATTAAATACTACTGGTGGATGTTTTTAAATGAATGTTCGCCTGTATAAGGGAATGTTTTTCTAGAAATTAATCAAATAAAATGTGTTTTCCTCAAGATTGGTTTTGTTTTGGTATCAATACTGATAAAAACAACATTTAAAGAAACACAACGACTGCATTGATACATTTGAATCCCTTGTTAAATTGGAAATCCAGATAGTGCTCTTCTGTTTAAAACTGAAGGATGTTACCATACAAAAAAGTGTTCATTACAATGGCTTTAGTTTTATTTATTTAAGGTGGCTCATTTTTTTCCCGTCAATTGCAATTGCAAATTAAAGTGCATTTATTATTGACCATCTAAGGTGTTTAGTTTACTGAATGTTTATTTAATACGTTCCAGTTGTCCTTGTGTCATTGGGTTGAAGAATACCAATATACAATGCTGTTGCGTTTCACTGCACAAAAGCTTTACCAGTAGACACATTCCAGTATTAATTGTACCAAAGCCAATAAATAATGGGGGTGTTCAGTCCTTTTCAGATCACTTGTATTCAAGTGGTTTGCCTGAACTATCTCTATGTGAAGTGTAGGAGGAGTTGTACATAAAAGGAGATCATATCTATCACCAAGGAAACAGTGAGGGAAGGGAAACATTAGCATCATATGAAGAAAAACAGGAGTTTGTGCATGTTAATGTGCATCTGTGTCTTTCCTCAGATGGATTGCATAATAATAACAGCACTTTAACCACCACTTCATTCTAACCATTTAACATTACTTCAAAGGGAATCATTTGTGTGAGATAATATCACCACCCTCACATTCATGCACACACACACACACACCACACACACACACACACACACACACACACACACACACACACACACACACACACACACACACACACACACACACACACACACACACACACACACAATGCCCCTTAAGAGCATCTTTACAGGTGGGGAAGTAAGGAAAATGTTGCTTTCGTGAAGGTTTTTGATGGAGCAGTGCAGGATTCTCTGGTCTTGTACAAACAGATCCAGCAGCTGCGCTCTGTTATGGTCTCCACCCAATTTAAAATGACAAACAGAATCCACAGGCAGGGGAGGAAGGAGGATGGCAGGTAGGGGTCTCCTCTGCAGGTGGTGTGTCAGCAGGGTGAAGTGTTTGTGACTGCACCGTCTGAAAGGTCACCGAATGTGAGAGAGGGGGAGCGAGACGAAATAACGAGAGTACCAACACAGATACTTGTAGATTGTATCGTCTAAATGCCAATCCACCAGCTTGTTATGACTTTGAAGGTCTGCTGGAATTTCACAGCAAGGTGAAATTTATTCAGAGGCCATCTAAGGGGGAACTGAAACAGCTTTGATTTATATCGATCTCTGAAGGGAACTGGTATTAAACATATTACTTTGATCTGAACACTTTATTCAAAGGCAAATATCACACAGGTAGACACCAGACTACATGCTGTCCCAAATGTACTGGCCTTGAATATTTAACTTTCTGTTTATTTTAATGTTGACACAATGGAGCTATAAAAACAGAGGTATTGTGCCAGTGTGATCTTGAGAGAAAGTGGAAGTGACTGTTACTTGAACTCCTCCTGTTGACCAAATTGTCCTGTTAAGCAAATAACTTTATCTGATGAAGTGGGTGTACATTCATTTGGTTTCTTTTTACCCCATCTAGCGGTGGTTTGACAACAATGCAAGGCAGCAGCAAAAACTGCAGCTGGCAAAGAATTTAAATGAGTTCTGCGTCTTTACTTCTGAGCAAGCATTATTGGTTTCGATTTTTCCTCAAGCACATACAGTAGATAATATAAAAACACAAAATTCCACATTACATTTAAAAATTTATTTTGAGTCAAAGTAAAATACCAACCCGAATATAATCTTATTACTGACTACAAAGACGTTGATGCCTTTAGAGGAAGCTCTCTAGTTTCTCCCACCAGGGGGCATAATCGATCAGTATGAAACCATTTGAAAGATGAATGTGTGGTGCATTGTCATTGCTCTTTCTGATACAAGCTCAAATGTACATCCTCTCTGTGGGACGAAAAAATAATTTCTGATTCTGATGTAAATAACAAAAATGTCTTGCATTTGTTTTTCCTGAACCAAGATTTAAAACATGTGGTCAACATGGCCAGAATAATAGTGTTTGTGTAATACAGTTAACCCTCCTGTTATGCTTGGGGTCAATTTGACCCCATTCAATGTTTAACGTATTTTAAAAAAATGGTTGACATTATAATTATTTTGCTTAGTATTTCATGACTTTTCCTAATTTAGTGAGGACTAATGGGTAAACATAAAATGAACGCATCGGTGTTCCTTGGCGTCAATTTGACCCCAGTCTGTTTTAGTAGTATAAAACATATACCAATGTCAATATTTTACACACATTTGTGTAGATTGTGTAGGATGATATTGAGGTGACTATTACATGCAAATGTATCATTGTAAAACAAAACTACCCTCTGCTTTAGTTATTGGTCTTTTAACAACATCAAAAAGATCTTACTTTAACATTTTATATCAGTCAGTGAGATTTTATGGTGATTTATATATTTTTCGATATTCACATAATAGGAATTCCGAATGTATAAAGGGGTCTGTAGAGGGGAAGGTTGGGGTAATGTTTTATTTAAATGGTTATGTAGGTAGTCAACTAAGATACCTAGAGACAAACATGTTGGTTAACATTTGGAATATGATCATTGTCTTGAGTTTTAAACTACTGGGGTCAAATTGACCCCAGTAGTTTAAGGGTGTATAGTCAATTTGAGGATAACAGGAGGGTTAATGCATTACAATCCCCCCAAAAATATTTTTAAATACATTTAAGACTTAATATTTTAGTAAATAACTTGATGAAGAACTGTCTAGCAACAGGATGTAACTGATATGAAGATACACCTTCTTTTTTCTTTACATTATTCTACTGAAAATGTAGTTTACAATTTAGTTTCCGGGGGACAATTTATTAAACTGTTTTGATTGTAAAGAGGCAGTTGCTATACAGTTACATCACACTTCATGTCTTTAACATCCGGTGGATTTAGATTGACAAAGCACATAACAAACTCCATTTGATCCCAGGCATCAAACTTCAGAAAGTTACATCACGCAGCAGACTGAAACATTTCTCAGGTCTTGCGTCATGGCGTTCCAGCTGCTGCGCTCTGCTTCCTTCAGTGGAGTCTTTGTGTCCAACATGTCCCCTCATGGTCGAAGCAGCCTGTGACAGAATTGCATGATTACATCCAACTGAGACAGAAGAATATATCATATATATTTCATCTTTAAAACAGTGTAAAAACTTGTGTTTTTTGGAAACTTTGAATGATAACAAACTTTTTTAAGAGAATACTTCAAACACGATGCACCTGGGGAAAGTCTACCATTGGAAACAATAAACAACAAAATCAGAGCCCATCTGGAAAGCATACTGGAGTGGAAACCAAACACTGAACCTTCTGGAAGAGATATGCAGAAAGGGAGGTGTTTAGAACCCCCCCCCCCCCCCCCCCCCCCCCCCCATGTCAGTCTATCGGTTTGAAGGACTAACACAGATGTCCTCTGTTTATTCACATCCCCCACATGACGACAGTAGCCACTTAAACCATGATGCAGCTGCATGGCCATCTGTTTTGTTTTATTCTATTACAACACAAACCTTAAACTTTAACAAACAGCAAAGATGTACAACGTATACAGATAATATCATTCTGTAGTATATGTATTGATTTTCTGTTGACCATACATACTTTCTTATTTAAATCCAAGTGAATAGACTAGAAATTAATAAAAAAATAGACAAGATTAACCTTATTGATATATTTGTATTTTAGCAGCACTAAGAGAGACACAACTGGTTGCAACCCACAGAGTGCTAACACACTCAGTGCTGAGGTGTAATGACTTCCAGATGTTGAATTGGCTCCTGTCGTCAAATAACCCTTTCTTACTGTAGATGCAGTCGCTCCACCCTCTGAGGTCTGCTTTTGAATATATATGTCTGTCAAAAAAACAAAAACATGCGTGGTTC